TCTTCATTTAACCGAATACTACGATTGTTATTTGATTTTAAAGGGTCTTTATTAGGATTCTAACTGTTTTAAGCCAATTTTGAACTAACCAAAGTATAATATAGTACCTTTGAGAATCATTTTAGCCTAAAACAGTAAATATTATGTTAATATACACTTTAAAAGTCTACAATCTGTGACTTAAAATAGTCCAACTCGCAGCAAAATAGCCAACTTTAGACTGATAAGGCTTAAAAAGTAAACATTTTTAATGGCTGAAATATATGTATTACTGTTGAATATATAGCAATAAACATAATTATGTAGTTTATTTAATGTTAATCCTTTCAATAGCTTTATATTTCAGCAAATAAAATGGCGTTTTCGCCACGAGTTTAAAAGACGATAAATGTCATAATATTGCAAAATATAGTGTTTTTTGTGATTTTTTAAGGGATTTTAACATCAAATTAGTTAAACTATACTAGTAAATGATTTGAAAACCACATTTGGAGAGCTTAGAACTGTACAGTTTATTCAGAAAATGGAAAAAATCTATTGCGACAAAGACATTTCAAACAACAATACAGGCTTATTCTTTTATTTATTTCTCTATAAAAGTAAATTATGACTTTATTTTTGTATATTTCACTGCTTAAGCACCTATTACATGGTATGTAGTGAAGTCTAAGTAATTTAAATGAACAGTTTATCGAAAATTCAAGTATTACCAGTGGTTGCAAATCGGCAAGTAAAACGTAAGAGTCATAGCCTAATCTTGACTTTTTAGTCTTTTTAACCAATTTCATAATCATTTAATGATGAATTAGACTGTAGAATATAATAAAATTACCCATTAAAGGCTTAATACCAGGGAAATAAGCTCATAAAACCACTAAATGTGGAATTACAGCCATAATATCAAGTGAATAAGCCCATAATATCAAGAAAAAATCTCTAAAAAATCACTAAAATCACTAAAAAATCGCTAAAATCACAAAAAACCAATCAATCGATTAATAATTAATCAACCAATCTAAATTAACAAACGAAACAAACTTCTCCTCCCTAGAGTGGATGTGCTGTCCATCCACACACTACTAGATGTGGATGAAATATAAAGTCAAAGTTGATTAAATTAATTTAATGGTGGTTTCTGTTCACCCGTGAATTCACGGGTAGAACCTCTTGTTTCAGTTTAAAGTGTGAATTGTAGTTTAACAGCTGAATGTACATTCGTAGTACATTCATTCAGATAATTTAAACAAGAGACGTAGTATAAAAATAATGATAGGTCTACTTTAATTAAATTACAGTCTGGTGTAAGGTAAACAAAAATCTGCAGTGTTTAAAATAATGTTTACCTAAAAAAACTTCTGGTAGTGTCCTATTTACAAGCAAATACAAAGTGAAAGTAAATAACAATTTGTTATGTAAAAACCAGATAAACACTAAGTATAAAATATGAAATTAAAAACTAAACCAATGTAACAAGAGACAAGTATGTTATAAAAATGCGTTTAAAATATAATCCTATATATTAATTAACAGTCTGGTGTATTGGTACAACAAAATATTAAAATTAATCTTGTAACTGCAGTGTTTAAATGATCAATTACTACAAAAAGGCTTCTAGTGATGTAGATATTTACAATCAATAAAAGAAATTTACAGTTTGTTATATACAAAATCAGAAAATTCAGTTGGATGGAATTAAATGCCCCTATGCATTTCATTCAACAATTAATTAATGTAATTTGCAATTTAATAATTGGAACACACAATTCAACATTGTGCATTTCCAACAAAAATTATGTTGGATGGAATTAAATGTACTGTTGTTAATATGTGAAATAACACAGAACAAGTAAGTATCAAAATTAAACTTTTACTGCCAAAATTTAACGTACGCAGCCAACGAAATAAAGAATTCAAGTTAAAATTACTACAAGTATTTTGCATTTAAAGATTTCGTAATACAGTTAAGTTAAATAGACACCTTCTAGTGATGAAATGCACTATTTTGTATTGTTTTACTACCTTACACAAACATCTGTTACTTTTATATTTAGTGTTCGCGGCCAACGAAATAAAGAATTCAAGTTCAAATTACTATAAGTATTTTACACATAAATGTTTCGTAATACAGTACTGTTAAATAGGTACCCTCTAGTGATGAAATGCACTATTTTTTATTGTTTAACTACTGTACACGAACATCTGTTACATATTTAGCGTTCGCGGCCTAAGAAATAATGAATTCAAGTTCAAATAACTGCAAGTATTTTACATTTAAATTTGTCATAATACATTACTAAAAACCACTATCATATACAGTATTAAAAGAAGCATAAAAGATTTATTATATGTAGTAAGAATTTGCGTATTTTTGAATCTAAAATTTTGAAACAAAAATAGGTTTATTTGGGGCGGATATCCACCACCCGTAGACACCATCACTTCCTGAGTCGTTAATGCCAAAGATTACAGCAGTATTCTAATACAATAGTAATGTATTTCCTAGAAGGTTGGCTCCAATGCTATTTGCCCTGTTTCCTGTGTTGACGGGCCTATCCACCACCCCACAGGTATTTCCGGGAGATTCCTGGGATTTAGTGGGTAAAGCGCAAGCTCAGGTCAGGTACCTACTCCCGAGAAACCTACCCTTTACACCACATAATAGGGGCAGCCCAGGCCGAGTCAGGGGCAGCGCAGGCCGAAAGTCCGTTTCCCCCCAAATAAATTATTATAATCACTAAAACCATAAAATTTTAACTTCACAAATTGTTTTAACATAAAGAAATAATAATTACAAGCTTACAGAATTTCAACCACTGTTGAATATTTAATTTTTACCTCACTGTAATGTTTAAGCTGTTTTTTGCTGTCCAGGGCTGAAAAGCCAGCTGTCGTCGTCATTTGGGGGCCGAGCAGGGTTTTACATCCTATGGCCAAACATCAGCTGTTCCTAATCAGCTAAACCAGCTGTATATAAAATACACAAGCAATGCATTCCAGTAGACTTGTTTTATTGCGCTACATAGCAACTAGTTGTTATTTCTGCTAAATCCTTTTATTTCTTAACATTACCTTAAAGTTTTAGTTATGTTGAGTGTGCATTTACTGTATTTATTTTCTCAATTTTGTATAGTGTGGAGAAAATAGTGTTCGTACCACGGGCCGAAAGGGTTTTGCTGGATCGAGATCATGTTTAAGTTCGAGACAAAGTCGAGAACATTTTCGGCCCTAGGTAGGAAATATACTATTTAGTGTCTGTCTCTATTTTTCCATCATAAATGGCAATAAAATAATTGATAAACCTGTCTACACGTCTACACCACGTTTTATAGCGTACAGTATTTTTTAAACTCCGTTTAGAATCACGAATACTAGAAAAGACCCGGTATGGATCATAAACATAAACAAATGACGTTTTTGGCCCAATAGTAAACAAAATTTCTATACAAATAGCATTAATTGACATATGGTTTTGTTTACTTTCGGGCAAAAACGTCATTTGTTTATGTTTATGATCCATACAGGGTATTTTATAATATTCGTGTTTAGAATGGACACGTTTTCCTTCCCGTGTTTGTAACATTTTTTCTTATTTCGCATAGGAAAAAAGAGCCTTTTTTGCCAAAAGCACCCAAATAATAGCTTTTTAACTGGCTGATTCGTAACGTTAAGATTCGTTTTTCAGATCGGTCTTGGGGTCCGCAAATAAGCCCCAAAGGTTCCGTGAACCAACATTTTTGCCTAGAAAATATTTAAAGTAATTGTTGATAGGTTACTTCTTAGTTGCATCTAATTTTTGATGGATCTAGTTTAGTGGTAGGGCGTTGCTTTTCGGTTCCTGATGTCCAGGGTTAAAATTCCGCCAATCACAATTGCATAAGTTGATTGGCATAATTCCTCACCCCGAAGGCCTAGCCCGAATTAATATGAAGAATATCCGAGCCCAGCATACTACGATGGGAATATATAAGTCTTTAAAAAATTTAAAGTAATGTTCAACATGGAGCGATGTGCGATATCACTCCTCTAGGCATAGCTCCGAATAACGCGTCTTTAATAAAGGTATTGCTCAGAAAGTCTATAGACCGGCCAGGCTTTGCTCCGACATACATACCACGGCATGTGTTTACTTCCAGTCAAAGTTTGATCAGTTTTTAAATAAATATGTATAAAATTACAAGACAATAAAGTAAGTTCTATGCATAAGAGTTAACTTGTTGTAGCTAACATATTCCTCAGAATTGGGTCTTAGAATTCCCTTTACATGGAAGGTATAATAAGTTATTCCCCAACATTTCTTTGGTAAGTGTTATATGGCACAAAAAAATTATATTCGCTATTAGAATTAAAGTATCACATTTGTATCTTTGAAAGGAACCTCTCCGATAAGAATATGATGCCAAGGCACTGTTTTGAACAAGTTTAATCGGTTAGGGACTGTTTATGAAGGCATTTCTACAGAAATTCGTTCCGGAGCGTTTTCTTTCAGTTATGCAATTTGGAACAGGTTAGAGTTCTGAGGTCAGTCAGGGAGGTTGGAGTTCTGCGATTGATTATTAATTATAAACTATAAAATATAAATACAATCGGCTATAATCCGTCACAAGTCTTACTACTGCAATAAACATTATTAATTTTTCTCATCGAAGAAATGCCCTACCGTATTTTATTAGTACTATTTTTTACAATTAATATACAGTATATTTAACTCTATGTTGATCTTTTAAAGGGCGTTTAGAGTTATTTTTGTAATCTATTTCAAAAATGGGACGGTTCAATGTACCAATACCTCTTAGGTCGTAGCTAGTTTATCTTAAACACTTATTAGTGAGTTAGCTATATTCTAGATAAAATAACATTCCTTACCGCTTGAGAAGAGAACGCGAAGGTATAACACAAGTGCTATAAACACTAAAACTGCGGTCGACTGCACTAGTCGATTGGACTTCCTTTCTCGTAGTCGTTCCATTGAGAAGTAGCTATGTCCTGAAGCCATCGTGTAGCTCAAGTAGTCGCAGAAGCCCAAGTAGCACTAGAAGGTCAAGTAGTCGCAGAAGCTCAAGTAGTCGCAGAAGCTCAAGTAGTACGCAGAAGCCCAAGTAGCACTAGAAGGTCAAGTAGTCGCAGAAGCTCAAGTAGTCGCAGAAACTCAAGTAGTCGCAGAAGCTCAAGTAGCAGTAGAAGATCAAGTAGCACTAGAAGCTCAAGTATTCGCAGAAGCCCAAGTAGTCGCAGAGCTCAAGTAGTCACAGAAGCCCAAGTAGCACTAGAAGCTCAAGTAGCACTAGAAGCTCAAGTAGCACTAGAAGCTCAAGTAGTACTAGAAGCTCAAGTAGTACCAGAAGCTCAAGTAGCACTAGAAGCTCAAGTAGCACTAGAAGCTCAAGTAGCACTAGAAGCTCAAGTAGCACTAGAAGCTCAAGTAGCACTAGAAGCTCAAGTAGCACTAGAAGGTCAAGTAGTCGCAGAAGCTCAAGTAGTCGCAGAAACTCAAGTAGTCGCAGAAGCTCAAGTAGCACTAGAAGCTCAAGTAGCACTAGAAGCTCAAGTAGCACTAGAAGCTCAAGTAGCACTAGAAGCTCAAGTAGCACTAGAAGCTCAAGTAGCACTAGAAGCTCAAGTAGCACTAGAAGCTCAAGTAGAAGGACTTCACCTGTCACGGGATAAAACTGGAGTGACCAAGAGCTCAGAACACAGCGATAATGATATCGAAACCATACGTCATTGCTGCCTCCCTGATAGTGAATCATAGGTCGATTATACATACTGATAAACTTATATATGCTGTTTTACAATGCTTGTATTGAAATATAAGATTCTTAAAACTAGTTGATTTTACAGGTTATGGGAAATTAATTTTCAATAATATCCCTTATCGATCAAATACAAATATTATATCGGATATTTAACTTCTTTCTGTTTCATCACAAAATTTAACCAAAAAACTATCATATTGATTCTTGATTCTTGAAAGCAAGAACGTTTATAATAAATATCTGTAGTGAAATGTATATTTAAGTACATATAATAATAAAGTTGACTCATATTTATTTACTTGGACTGAGCTGTCTTCTAAGTGTAAAGGGTGGATACCTAATTAAGAGGCTAAGGAAAGGAACACACGCTTTAGATTCAAATAGCTCTAATAGACTATACTTCTTAGTTTTTTGTGGTATTTAAATTTGTTATTAAAACAAAGAACTTACTTTCCAACAATAAAAAGTACAAAAACAATTGTTCAGTCCTCTTTTTTAACCGACAGTTACGTCTATGGTATCCACCTCCTTATAGAGTATCTGTTTGAGTACAAATAAATAAAAAAACACAATACGATCAAAATGCCAACATTAGCATCAGATATGTACTGTCAGTTATTAAACACTATATCTAAAAGCCTAAACCTTATTGATCTTTTCCTTTATTTATATACTTAATTAAACATTTCCAGTGTTTAGTTATGATATTTGTAAAATACAAAAACTAATATAATGCAAGTTTTATGAAGATTGAGTCATGAACCGCAGATGATTCAGGTTTGTTATATTTTGGCTGGCCAACGTTCAATAATACTACCATAAATATATTATAAAAACATTTTAAACACTTTGAAAACGTGTCTATCTTTATTGTTTTGGAAACTATAAACTCATCTTAACTTTTTCGTACACCCAGCAGAAGTGTATATAAGCGGAAGTGTGTATAGAAGGGATTAAGTAATGTGAAAATTTTAAGTTAAAACATAAATTTCTTCACAAATTAACACTGTCAATTCCAGCTTACATGAATGCTACAGTACAACATTCTCATTCTGATATCATATTTTAAATAAGTAAAAGATTAATTGATATAAAAACCTAGGGAAAATCTAAGGAAAATGTAACAGTTAAACAAAAATTTTTTAAAGTTGCAATACAGCCATAATATTAAAAGCAGAAATTAAATTCTTGCAGGTGGATAATCATTTATAAATTTTGATCAAACCTACTTAGGATTTGGAATAACACCTCCTAGACATGTCTATACTCTTTTTATCTATTCCAATACCAAACATTTGTAAGGAATACAGACCGCCAGACCTCACATAGACTTTCATCTTCCGTCGAATCGTTTTTCTCCTCCCTCTTTGATACGCTAATGGTAAGCTCCGAACTTTGATTAAGTACAAACCCCGTCAGAGGGATGTTATCAACCGCTTTGACTGCCACTTCGGTTTTTAGACAGGTACGAACCTGTATGTCGCCAGTCTGTCCTCTGTCGCCACCCGCAGTTCAGCCTCTTTCCGAGATTATCCTGGGATGTCGTCTAGTCGCTGATCATTGGATGTTGAAAAAGCTTATGATACGAGTCTGATCATTAATCAAAATATAACCTTAAAGGTTGTAAATTTATATTGGCTTCCAGGATACAAATGTTTTCTTAAGATCAAACCAAAGTTATAAATTATCGTAATCCAAATTAGCGCAGTTCCTTTGCGCTACCGAATAAGCAAATTTAGTATTCCTTTAAGTTCTTCATTTATTTCGCATTAATATTCCTTAAGCTAAGTTCTTGCTTGTAATTGTTTGGGTTTAAAGTGTTTATGTTTGTTTAAAATACGGGTCGCCGGATTTCTACCCCCGGATATTTACCCCCATGAAAAAACGCCTACGTCATTTTGACGTCACGAGGGGCGGGGCTTATACACGTTTGAGAAACAGCCCGCGACTGGAAATCTACCCCCGGCCATCTACCCCCAGACATCTACCCCCGGACATCTACCCCCGGACATCTACCCCCCGTGGTCAGCTCTGCCGTGTATCGGCCAATATCCATTATGTTGTATAATTGATTTTATAAATTGCTTTACCTTCTTATATCCAGTAGTAAACATGCGATATGTCGATGTCTGTTTTAACATTATCCATATTTATAATTCAATAAGTTGTAACAGTCCTTTTCAACCCCCCATTGTTACTTTCACATACAGTAACAGCTAACGGCGCATGCTAAGCGCGGATCGAAAGTGTTTATCACAAAAGATTGACCAATACGATTTTAATACTATTTAAAGGTTCTTCAAAAAGAAGAGAAACCGGTTAATTATAACTCTTATGACGTACGGTATGGGAATTATTTTATTCATTGAATGATCAACCATATTTTGTAACTAACGCAATAGTCATTATTGCTTTTACACTTATTACTCATCAAAAAAGCTAAAGAGCTAAATGCTCAAAATTTGTATTACTTCAATCTATTTATCGCAGTTATATGAATTATCATAAGCCTTGAAAGTAACCGTCAATGTCGACGGGTTTCACCTAATTCTGTTCTGTATATTACATTAAATTCCTCATTTTAACATTTTACTGGCAGGAAACCTGCATATTCACTTCCTATATGGTATTCTTATGAATGAATCTTTTGAACACTTATTTATGGAAATAAGTTGACAAGTTTTGTTTTAAGGCAGGATTTTCCAATAAGACTTTATAGATTCCCTGAATATACGAATGTGCTGCAATGGGGGTATTTAGGCGTATATATGTATTAAAAGATAAGATATAAAAGATTTATTAGGCTATGCTTAAAAATTTGAATGTGGCCATTATTTTGAATTTGAATAATTGTCTTATTTCAGGTCTTTAAGAGAAAATACTTTAAAATCCTTTCTTGGTACGCATCTAAAATCTTAGAAACTAAATTTTTTACTACTAGGTGATATGAAAAATTTGCCATTATACACCTAACTTTTATTGATGAAAAATTACAAATATAAAAAATATATTTATAATACAAAATATGATACAAAATATAATTATAATACAAAATAATACAAAATACAAAAATTAAATTTGAATATTTTTTTTATTTTAAGTCTTAAAGAGAAAATACTTTAAAATCCTTTCTTAGTACGCATCTAAAATCTTAGAAACTATTTTTTTTACTACTAGGTGATATGAAAAATTTGCCATTATACACCTGACTTTTATTGATGAAAACTTTTGATCCTCTTTCTCAATTAAACAGTTTACAAATGAGTTTTAGTTTACTAAACAATTATTACTACTAGGCCTACATTGAATAAACCGGAAGTTCACCACAGTTTATTCACTTTATCCTTTAAGAAATGTGTGTAAAAACAATGGTTCTGGTTCAGTACGATGTAACTTGACCATGTGAAAAGTGCGCAATATTATATTATATTATTTTCATAGCTTTTTCATCTCCTGTTTACAGTTGCAGACGATCTATTCATGTTTTCACAACCTGACTTAAAAATTGATCTGATGAGTACTACTCACATTTCACTTTTAAACTGTTACTGTATAGTGTTTGTAAAAGTTGGTCAACCATTGGAAGCACCTTCTATAGTTCGGCCGTTTAGAAAACGACCTGCGCGCTAATGCTAAACCAATGCTGGAGGAGGTCGTTTTCTAAGCGGCCGACCTATAGGAATAAATCAAAGGCTTAGGGGTCAACCTTTTGAAGCCATAATCGAAATATCCTTTTAATTACCATTTTGTGCTGCGCTAGATCTTAAGCTTTTAAAAGACACCTCAATCGTAAAAATCTGTGAAGTAGGTCGGGTTGAAAAGTACTGTTACAACTTATTGAATTATAAATATGGATAATGTTAAAACAGACATCGACATATCGCATGTTTACTACTGGATATAAGAAGGTAAAGCAATTTATAAAATCAATTATACAACATAATGAATATTGGCCGATACACGGCAGAGCTGACCACGGGGGGTAGATTTCCGGGGGTAAATTTCCGGGGGTGGATGTCCGGGGGTAAATGTCCGGGGGTAGATGTCCGGGGGTAGATGTCTGGGGGTAGATGTCTGGGGGTAGATGTCCGGGGGTAGATTTCCAGTCGCGGGCTGTTTCTCGAACGTGTATAAGCCCCGCCCCTCGTGACGTCAAAATGACGTAGGCGTTTTTTCATGGGGGTAAATATCCGGGGGTAGAAATCCGCTACCCCCTAAATACAATAAATCACATGACTACGTAAACTGAAAACGTAGTATTCTAGAAATATCTCAAACCATAACAAGAAACGGTAGCTCATAAGCCAGATCCAGTAGTATGATCACTCAGTAGTGGTTAGAGCGCTGGACTCCGGTTCCTGGGGTCCCGGGCTCAAACCCCGCCAGATCACCAATTGATTTTATCTAAGTGATAATGCCGTAACCCCTAGGTCTAGCCTGAAGTAATGTGAAGAACAATTCTGGGCTCGTGCCTAGCGTACTATGACAAAAAAAGTAGTATGATCCCTCAGCGTAGGGAAAATCGCAAACGTCAGTGTCCACCCATTGAACCCATCAGTCAAAATTATTTATTTTATTATAAACATGTTTCTTTGTTATATTTATCAAAATAACCAAACAAAACCTTTCTTTTTCACTTTCACGTTACATTTACAGTGTAGGTTGCTACAGAGACTGTGCATTGTATCTCAACCCCAGGATGGCGTATGGCGTAGGAGGCAAAACCATGTGTTCATTTAACTCTGTAGGAAACAATGTCAAACCGTATTGTGAAAGAGAGTGTTTATATTCAAGTTATAATGTTTGCAGAACCATCTGTACATTAAATTTCTTTTCGTGACACTGTCATGTTATTCCTTGCCAGAAATTGATTTAAAATTGTCTGAGCTTTATGTTTATTTGGCTAAAAGT